ATGCTTGGACTGCTCATGTGAATGGTCTCGTATTTAATTTGTCTCCGCAGGCGTCCCCTGTGAGTGCGCACCCTTACGGAAAATGATTGGTGAAATGGATATTCAAGTGATGCAATTAACCAATGAGCTGAAGTTCATTAAAAATGGTATGTCCAAAAGAAAGAATGAATCAGTCTACCAATGTTTATGAGATTACAATAATGTGATGTTGTCAAGTTGATTCATACAGTTGTTCATTTTGATATGCAGGGTGATTGCACATAGACAAAAGTATTTACCCATTAGCCAGAAGCTCTTTTGTTTGACTGTCAGAATGCACTTGTGTGAACGCTGGCTGCTGCCGTGTGATTATAGAAATTCAGATCCTCATTTTTCAGCCCTGCCCTCCCCCGCAGCTGTCGCTGGCATCAAAGAGACAGACAGCAAGGTCTATCTGCTGGTGAAGGAGGAAAAACGCTACAGGGACGCGGAGGTGTTTTGTCAGGGGCGAGGTGGACACCTGGCTATGCCCAAAGATGCGGCGGCTAACAGAGCCATCGCTGGCTACGTCACTGAAGCTGGCCTCAGTAGAGTGTATATCGGCATTAATGACCTGGAGCGAGAAGGCCACTTTGTGTATGTGGAGCGCTCACCCATGACCACTTTCAGCAAGTGGAGGGAGGGCGAACCAAACAACGCTTACGATGACGAGGACTGCGTCGAGATGGTGTCTTCAGGCGAGTGGATCGATGTGGCTTGTCACCTCACTATGTACTTCGTGTGTGAGTTTGACAAGGACACAGTATGAGCTTCACTGCCAATCTATAGGGGGAAAAGTCATTTTAGACATGTTTAAAGTACTCCGGTATTAAAGAAGGCTGAAATTTCAATAAAAAGGTGACGTACTTCTACATTTTGTCATCTTTGGCAACGATGACGTCAGTGTGACATGCTAGGCGTCATGTAAAACTGTTTTGTCAAAATTTTAAACAGTGACAGCAGTGTGACATGCTAGGCGTCATGTAAAACTGTTTAAAACAACATTTAATTATTATTATTATTATACACTGCAGTTCAAACATTTAGAGTCAGTAAGATTTTGAATGTTTTAAGCACTTACCAAAGTTTTGTAGTTAAATTATTTTCAAATGTAATTAATTTCTGTGATGGCCAAGCTGAATTTTTTAGCAGCCATTGCTCCACTCTTCAGTGTCACATGATCCTTCAGAAATCATTCTTATAAGCTGAATTGCTGCTTAGGAAACACTTCTTCTTATTATCAGTGTATCAATGTTCAAAAGTACAGCATTTTAGGAAAAAATTTTTTTTGCGACATTGTTAATGTCTTTACTATTTGGTTGTTTAAAACCTTATATCAATTGAGATACTGTATGGAATATATGTACTTTTAATTTTTTTTATCGCACTGCAGGAATATACGTTATACAGATCAGTTAACATATGTAGACCAATCACAATTTTTCAGGTGTTATTGCAGACTGAGACACCTTTACTGTGAAAAGTGGACAACTAAGTTTACTAAACTACATTTACTTGTAATCAGTTAAATAAATGAACAATAATACTTTCCTATTATCTTGTTATATTTACAATTTCAGATTCCACTGATTTGACCTTTTTCTTATTGCTTTTCTCTTTTACTACCTTCCCATTCAAATTTGAATTACATGGTTTATTATTAATATACTGAATAGGTCAGCATACTCATAGAACTAGCTAACAAGAGCAGATTTACATAACACAGTCTTAGACTGAACTGTAGGGTTGAGGTTAGAAATTGTATTTTTAATGGTCAAACAATTTATTCTCCCCAGTAAAATGACTGAAATGGCTGTCCCAGTTTACCAGTAGTACACCATCCCATTTATTTAATACATTAGTGGCAGAATGGAACAGAGTCAAAGTCACATAAGGATCAATAGATGGTATATATTGTATACTACCCATCATATTAAGTCATTTTATAACCTTAGCATGTTTTGAGGTTATAAATGTGGTATGAAATGCCCTATGGAATGCTCTTTTGACATCCCATCCCACAGTAGCTGATTTTTTTATCAATAGATGACTGTACACATACATAGAATACAGTACACATGCCATATTGCTTATATAATAAATAATACCATTATTTGGTTTCTTGAGAATGTACTTTTCTTTAACTGTTCCTACTAATTCTGTGTAATGGTAGTAAATATGGTAAATTATTTCTAAAACATGATAGATACTCGAAGGATTCATTATACTACATGTATTTTATGTGACTTTGGTATTTTCAGTAATCAATCAATAAATATTTGTATATCATGATCAGCAGGCTTTGTCTCAAAACATTCGTTGTCCGTTTTGTATCATTTTCTGAAGCACTAATAAAATCCCATCACTCTTTGCAAGGTTTCTTCTTTGTCTTAACGCCATTCAGTGAGTAGGCCTATGTTAAAGTAGTGATCTGTCGCTCTCTAGTGGTCACATGTGGCTCTACACACTGATTATGTTCGTTTACTGTATTGGCTGACAAGGTCAAGCCGTCCTGGAATTAACTATGCATGAAAATATTACAGCAGGCAGGAAATCTGATTAATTTGGGGCAAAGTGGCAATCTGTACACCTCTGTTGCACGTATAACAGTGTTTTTCTCATAAATCTTTAAAGATGGAATGTGCTTGAATTTCATAATGGGTCTTTAGAATGAACTTTAGAAACATAATCAGGCGACCTGCTTGTGTAAACTGATCTGCTATTCTACACTGGCCATCACACCAAACAGACCATGGCATAAGGAACCTATCCTGCCATAAGCTATATACTGAGACCATAAATCTACTAATCATCAGTAACAAATCAGCCTGACCAGTGGCAAATTGTCTTTATTAAAGTATGGCAATAAACATTTTCATTTGACTTTTCAGTTAATGAAAATATTTATATAAAATCAATAATAAAAATATTTATTAAAAAATGATATTTTTTTTATAAATGTTATTTAACAAACAAATAAATAGGCCTACAAAATGTGTCACTCTATGTTGTAAAAAGTGGTAACCTGTGTTACCTTGAAGAGCTATTTCTACCTGATTTAATCCATATAAAATAGCTTTGTTAATATAAATTAAATATAAAATTATAAGTTAATATAATAAAGTGATGTTAAATCATATGTTTGACTTGAAGAAAACCAGTTAATTTATGTTTTTGTCATGAATATGTAATTTATGATGTTACCATTTGTAGGTTGCTATCTTTTCAGTGCATGGCCTATTGCTTCATTAAATGATATATAATGATTCAGCTTTATTATTATTATTAATAATAATAATTTTAATGAATATAATTCGCCCTATATCATTCTTGTTCTTTTTTGTCTTATTTACCCCGTTTTAGTTTATGTAGGCATATTTTTTTCCCCTTCATTCACATGCATTTGTCCCTTTATTTCAAGTCACATTTCAAGTCACTTTTGCAAATACTAGCAAGTTTCTGGAAAAGTTCTTGAAAGGTTAAAGTTCATGGGAAGAAGATGGCGTTCAAAGGTGCATGATTTCCCAACGTATTGAAAAAAAAGGCTGTAGTGTTTTTTTCGTCGCTCATTTCCACTGTTGAAAAAACCAGCATATGCTGGTTAGGTATGTTTTGATGGTCCTTTTGCTGGTTTATGCTGGTCCTTTGCTGGTTTAAGATGGTCCTTTGCTGGTTTATGCTGGTCCTTTTGCTGGTTTATGCTGGTCCTTTGCTGGTTTAAGATGGTCCTTTGCTGGTTTATGCTGGTCCTTTTGCTGGTTTATGCTGGTCCTTTGCTGGTTTAAGCGGGTCCTTTGTTGGTCCTTTGCCCTCGGACCCCAGAGGGTTAAACCAGCAAAGGACCATCAGCTTAAGCTGGTCATTTGCTGGTTTATGCTGGTCCTTTTGCTGGTTTAAGCTGGTCCTTTGCTGGTTTATGCTGGTCCTCTTGCTGGTTTATGCTGGTCCTCTTGCTGGTTTATGCTGGTCCTTTGCTGGTTTAAGCTGGTCCTTTGCTGGTTTATGCTGGTCATGTGCTGGCAAAGGACCAGCATAAACCAGCAAAGGACCAGCTTAAACCAGCAAAGGACCAGCTTAAACCAGCAAAGGACCAGCTTAAACCAGCAAAGGACCAGCTTAAACCAGCAAAGGACCAGCTTAAACCAGCAAAGGACCAGCTTAAACCAGCAAAGGACCAGCTTAAACCAGCAAAGGACCAGCTTAAACCAGCATCCCAGCGTCAAAACATACCTAACCAGCATATGCTGTTTTTTTAAACAGATGAAGATGATGTTACAATGTATAATGTTCTTGTAAAAAAGTGCAACATAGCCTATTACTTTTATGCTGCCTTCACATAAATACGAGGTTGAAGGCAGTGTTAGCAAATTCAAATAAAATAATAATTAAAAAAATAAAAGTAAAAAAAATAAATAAAAAAAAAATAGTTATAAAGACTATTAACCCTTTTTAGATGGAAAAAAATCACGTTGACACCTATTGATGAAATTGATATTTTTGAAAAGCTGACCTACAAAACACTGTCTCCGACGACAGGAGTAAGTAATACACTGATTAAAATTTAATCTATTGTTTGGCGGTTGTCTAAGATAGGCTAATTGGATGCCTGACCGCGGCCGCTAAATCTCCAGTTACCTCAGAGCACAGACTAAATTAGAACAAAACACTTTTTTTTTACCCAAGCTATCAAAATAAAAAGAAATCGATACAACCGATTACGTATGCTATAATTTTGTTAGTTCAAAGAGAGTTGAGGCATTGTAGCAGTCTTGCCATTTCTTGCTATTTTCTTAGAGTTTCACTCCGTTACTATGGAAACTCGTCCAAACAACATCTGGCTGCCTCCAGCACGCGGAAGAGAACGATTCAAACTATTTTAACAACTTTCGGTTGTGGTTACTAAAATTGTGTTTTATTTATATATTTAATTTGGGCTTGTCAGCACCTCCCCGTGGATTACCGCAGAGTTGTTTTCGTTCATAATGTCTGGACAGGGGTTTTATGCGCATCCTCCGCCAACCAAAGCGGTTATTGTGTTCAGGAACGGAGATGCTTTTTATCCCGGCCGAAAGTTTGTTATCAATCAACGCCAGTCATCCACTTTTGACAGCTTTCTGAACACGGTCACTCGAGGCATCACAGCTCACTTTGGGGCAGTGCGAAATATTTACACCCCTAACAAGGGTCACAGGGTGGCGAATCTGGAGCAGCTGGTGCATGGAGAGATATATGTGGCAGCCGGAGCAGAGAGACTCAAAAAAATGGAGTAAGTTTATTCATCCACATAATGGTAACGGTGCAGTTATTTACAAGAGAGTAGCTACATTGCTGTGGTATTATGTTGAATGGTTGATTTTTAGTAAACTTTATTGATTATGAATTAAATTCATGTAAAATCTTAGCAGCCTAATACAGGGTAGAATAGCCTATAATAGGCTAACGTTAATATGTACAGAAAGTGTACATTTTAATTGCATTACATTTTTTACATTTTACATTGCAATGCAAAACCATCAGAATAATATACTTATGTTATATTATATTGACTTTATACTTTCTCTCTTCTTTTGTCTTTGATAGCTATCATCACATAACAACACAGAAACCTCCAAAAAAGAAAAGTGAACCGGTAAGAGTCACAGTAACTACATCATTCTTGATAGAATGATAAAACAACATAAAACCTTTTCTCATTCTATCAAGACATGAACGATTAAAAAATGGGGACAACTTTATTCTATATGTGAAACATACCGTGGATGTATGAGAATGTTTTGTACATCAGGAAGGTCAAGAGGAAAAAATATCCATGGTAAATCATAACATGTTTTCAGTATGATTATTACTGGTGTTCTTCATCCTACATTTTTCTGTTATTGACTGATACATCTCTCCGGCAGAATATCAGTGTAAGGTTTACCCAGACTGTAGCGGATGACTGATTTTATGCCCCTTGTTGCGGAAAAACATGAAGTATTAATTGTATTGATTTCACTATAAAATCTCCATTCGAGTCAGCTGTTTCTCTTCATTTCAAACTATGAGGTAGCCTATGTGTAGGACAGTCTCTGAATATTAGGGGAGTTTTCTGACTACTCATAAAATGATTTTAGGTTATTAATCAGCATTCAATGCAAGTACTGCGCAAATGCTTTATGTTACTTATTAGAGACTCTTACCTCTAATTTCTGTTCATTTTCTAGTGTATACAGTAAAACAATGGCAAATTTCAAAACTTCCCTCCTTCCTTTTCTCACAAGAACTTTATTCGCCCCGCCAGTATATTGGCTTAGTTATCACCTACATCCACTGATGTAGACCATTAAATCTTTATGCTGCCTCAGAAGCCTGTCAGAAATCAGTTTTGTTACAGCTGTTTAACTGTTTACAATCAGCTGTTGAATAATTACAAAAGATGTTGTTATGCCACAGTTAAACACAAGGGTGCTCAGCCCTGCTCTGGAGTTCTGTCTTCCCTCAGAGTTCAGTTCCACTCCTGCTCGCACACCTGTCTGTGATTTTCACGCAAACCCCAGACCTTGATTATTTGCATCAGGTGTTTTTCATTAAAGTTGGAGATAAACCCTGCAGGAATGTGAACTATTAGTCAGCAGTAGCACATATACGCACAATATAAGCTGTGAAATATTATTGCATTTTAAAATAACTGTTTTGTATTGGAATGCATTTTAAAATGTAATTATTTTTTTGTGATGGCAAAGCCGAATTTTCAGCAGCTGTTACTTTATTCTTCGGTGTCACATGATCTGTTTTGCATAGGATTAAAATCAGCAGTCAAAAGATTCAGGCTTTGTGCTATTCCAAGTTTGGACTATTTGAAGTGACTTATTAACCTAATAGTTTTTACAACCTTCCTCAGAGACCAACATGCAATGGACCATAATAGAGTACTAATCATAAAAATGCCCACTTAGTGACTTTGCTTGAGGTTATGGCAGTATATGTCACTGTCTGTCACCCTTTTAGCTCCTTGTTTTCATCTGAACAACAACCAACATAGCATTAAAGATGGCTGATTGAGGAAAACCAGATGTGTAAGGGCCCTAAATGAGCAGTGGAACAGTTATTGTCAGTGATGCTCAGCGGGGTCCTGTTCATTTGTCTCCACTGCAGATCCAACCTGTAGTTCACAGCAGAATAATTGTCCCAGCTCGATGGAAGAGAATCAGTAATGAGTCGTGCATCATCAAGTGAGCCCTGCTTTTAATGTGTCCCTATTGGAAGTCTTCAATGGCAAAGCCTCAGGCTACGGCAAAGTCTAATTCTTTAAAGCTGTAATACTGTCTAATGGTATAAAATCAGGCCGATGTTCTTTGCTTTAATTATTTATTTCTAATGGCATCTAATTTCCTCATGTTGTTAATTATTCGTGTATATTGGCTTTGTTTCTGACAACAACATATTTGGAAGCATAAATGTGTGGATTGAGGTCCTAAGTGCTAAATTTGATTATATCTTGTAGTGTTTTTACCAATGGAGATATCTTGGTTCCTCCAGCACGGGTGCTGATTCCCAAACACACGCTTGCTAGCTGGGAAAATGTATTGGCCATGGTGACCGAGAGAGTTCACCTTCGCACTGGAGCTGTGCACAGGTACGAGCTACATCTATAAAATGTGCATGTGTAAAAAGTACGTATAGTCAATGTTGAGTGATCTCACTCCTTTCAGATTGTGCATGCTGAATGGGAGGCCTGTACGTGGATCGTATGAGCTACAGAACAACCACTATTATGTTGCTGTAGGGACAGAGAGGTTCCGGTCTTTGCCATATCATCTGGCCCCAAGCAAGGGAGTAATCCACAATATCACCGATGTGTGAGAAATATTATAAGACATGATAATTGCAATGACAGTAATTAACAGATGTATAATGCCCTTTTGTTGAACTTTCTTCTAGTAAAATTGCCATCATTAACTCACTTTTTGCTATTCAAAACCTGTATGACTTTCTTTCTTCCATGGAGTACAAAAGGCGAAGGACAGAAAAGCACTATAGAAATAGTCCTTGTTTGAAGTCATATGATTGATTCTATGCAGGTATACAGAAATTTGAACAAGTTACATTACTGTTTAAAAGTTTGAATATTTTTGAAAGAAGTAAAAAATACAATAAAACAGTAATACTATCACTTATTTTTTTAAATTATTTGAAAATATTTTAAATATAGTGTAATATATTTTTAAAATGTAATTTATTCCTGTTATGGGAAAGCTGAATTTTCAGTGGCCATTACTCCAGTCTTTAGTGTCACATGATCCTTCAGAAATTATTCTAATAATCTGACTTGCTGCTTAAGAAACATTTCTTATTATTGTCAATGTTGAAAACAGTTGTGCTGCTTAATATTTTTGTTGAAACTGATGCATTTTTCAGGATTCTTTAAATCAATAGTTAAAAAGAACAGCATTTGAAATAGAAATCTTTTTTGTAAAATCATATACACATCTATACATCTTTCCTGTCACTTTTGCTGAATAATAATATTTATTTCATTCAAAAAAACAAAAAACTAATACTGACCCTTAATTGATTGATTGGTAGTGTATATTAAATGTAAAATAATCAGACAATACATCTAGTAAAATGAATATTTTTGTAAATTATAGAATGAATAATAAAATGCCAGAACTGTCATAAGAAAAAAATAATTTTGGTTTCAAAACATGATACTGTTTTTCACAGAATAATGAAAGCAGTCAGGTTTGGAACAAGCAGAGTACAAGTACATGATAACGGACCTTTTTTTTTTGGTTAAATTATTTCTTTGTCTTCCTCTTTTTCTTAGGGTCAACAATGGCATTCATCCAGTTCTAAAAAAAGAAAAACAAGACAGAACTTTGGTAAGGATAATGAAATATTTTCTTTAAACTATTTAACAGATAAAAAATGTGTATATTATAGATGGCATCGATGCGATTACATTACATTATATATTCATATATTTAGACGCGCACTAGAGACGGTTTAGCCAATCACAACACACTGGGCTAGCTAACCAATCAGAGCCCATCGCCTATTTCTGAGGGAGGGGCTTCATAAATTAAGGAAATGATCAGCCCGTTTATGGGAGAAGGGACCAGCGGTGTGGAATAAAGGTAAATTGTGTGAAAAATAATGTGTTTTTTAAAAAACAAAGCATTAACACGTTAGACTGCACCCCATAAACACAATCAAGCCTAGAAAAAAACCCACCCCTTTAAGTAAATATTTAATGAAAATGCTGGTATTGATTTTGCATAGTCAAAGACTAATAGGCTAATTCTTCAGAAGGCAGGGATGAACACAAGCAAATGAGCCTGTTTTGACAGTGTGGAATGCCATATTAGTCTTATTTGCTCTGTTCTTGAACTGTAATATGGAGATTAAACATAGCACAGAGCTAATGTCCTGAACTAGTTTACAAGACACCGATCTTGATCAGCACCCATCCCTTTCCCCTCAGACCGAAACCAGTTAGTGAGAAAATTTCAATTTGGGCCAGATATAAATTGGCTACTGTTCATTAGTGTTGAAGATCAGATAGTTGAGAAAAATGTTACCGTCACAGGATCCCAATGTCTCCAATCAGGCTGATATGTGGCAGTGCGAGTTGGGACCGGGTACATTCACCTCATCAATCACTGTCTGTAGGAGGTATTGAGTTCTTCTCACCTCTCCTTTTTCAAACTGTCCCAACGCTCAGAGTTTGTGTTACTTGATCAAGTGAGAGCCGAACTCCCTCACCGGGGGAAGGCGCTGAAACCCTCCCCTGTACCCACAGAATGAGGATAAATTGTTTTGTGATAGTGCGCGTGTTCACTTGATGCTTTGGGATGGTCCAGACTACAATAAGAGCTAGACCTGGCAAATAAGTGATGGAGAAAAAATACACACTTAGTGGGCTGGGACCCGGAGCTCTCCAAAGTAAAGCTTGAGACATCTGGTTATTGTGAATAAGAAAAATGACGGCAAACCATTTGCCTGTTGATGTTAGAAGGGAAAGCTCCTGTGGTTGTTCCATGTCTGTTGTAATTGATTTCTCATGCTTCATCAGCTTCATTGAGTGGAGGAAATAATTTGAAGAAAGTGGCCAATTATCTTTGATACAATGAAGATGGAATAGCAATCAAAGTCTCATCAAAGTGTCATTAAATTCCAAGGTGCAGTTCCATAATGTTTACATTTACCTGTAATCTGTATTTGTTGAGAGGAGAACAAACACTTTTAAACAATCACGTATTCGTTTTCCCTGCAGAGAATCTGTAATAGTAATTCAAAGCTTTACAATACCAGACAAATGTTTTGACAAATTTTGTTAAATTTGTTTCTCGCAATCTTGCTTGAGATTCTTGATTTAGATCTGAAGGCTTATGTTTATATTTTTGGTGTGGGGAAAAAAAAATAGTAAAAATAGTAAATGATGTTTATCTGAAAGTGTAACAATGCAAACAGGTTTTCTGTAAGGGGTAAGTTTAGGGTTAGGGTTGGGTTAGGGGATAAAAAATATTGTTTGGTCAGTATAAAAGTAATAGAAGTCTTTGGAAAGTCCCCACAATTCACAGAAACAAACGTGTGTGTGTATAAACGTGTATGTGTATAAAATGTAATTAATACATTCATTTATGAATACATTTAACATAGGTACATACAGTACATTTACTATTACTATTTATTATATTAAGTATTATTAATATTAAAAATATTAAATAAATGACAGATAGTCGTAGTTATTTTATATAATTATATTATAATGAATTTAATTACACTTCTGTTCATAAATTGAGTCAATTTTTTGAAAGAAATTAATTTTTTTATTCTGCAAGAATTAAATGAACAACATTGACATTGATGCTTCTAAATTGTTAAAGATTTCTATTTCAAATAAATATTTTTTTTTCTTTTTAACATTCTATTCACTGAAGAGTTCAGGGGAAAAAGTGTAATGTGGCTTGAACAAACGTTTTCAGTTTTAATAATCACAAGAACTTACTTAGAACTTAGCACCAAATCAGAATGAATGATTTCTGAAAGGAACATGTGACACTGAAGACTGGAGTTAGAAACGGTTAGTTTTAACTTGTAATCAATCAAATAAATCCAGCCTTGGTCAACATTGAAGACTTCTTTTAAAAACATTGAAATCGTTCAAAAACATCAAAAACATTAAAATGTAATCAAAAACATAACCCCCCCCCCAAAAAAAAACTTTGAATGGTGGTGAATATAATTATTTATATAATTATTAAATGAATAATTTACTTCATTTTATTAATTTGTAATAAAAATTAATTTAAAACAAAAATGTATTTGTAAAAAAAAAAAAAAAAAATCCACAATTACATAGCATGTTATGTATGCTTTCTTTTAATCCATAGCAGGATATTTCCATCTCATAGCATTATTTCTTCAGATCTGGTATTTACCACATGAGGGAGACAAAGACTCAGCTATGGCCTCCACCAACCTCCTCTACCAAAACACCTTCCTTTTCTCTGGCTCTCTGCTTACATTATCCAATGATGTCATTCCAATGTAAACATTTTGATAATGAAATTGAATTACAGAATTTTTCTAATCTTCCCCTAGAAATCAATACAGTATACTTAAACCTATATTTTTTTATTGTCATGTAAACTGCTTGGGGCCTGTGTATTATTAGAAATCTCTATCTTTTTTTTTTTGCACTGCATTTTTTTTTTCATGTGACAGAGCTGGCACTGCACCAGCAGATGAAAGCAGTAGCACAGCATTTGGTGTTTATTCTCCTACTGGTCTAACAGATGTTGAGCGAGGTGTCAGCAAAGTTGACATGGGAGGAAAAGTGCAGCAGCGACAGAGATGATCACACCCTCTTGTACTAGAGGCTACACATCCATGACTGTGACATGCAGAGGCAGTAAAGCTGTTCAGACCCTCTCCGTGGCACTGTAGGGTGTAACTGTCCCCTCATATCTCCCATGACTTGCTCATGTCAGACCTGCTGCCGTCCCCGCGGTGGCTTCCTGTTTTGGAGAAGCATTGGTTTCTCTAGGGGATTGGTAGAGACACCCATCCAGCTGCTCTCTGTCAGGCCTGTCCTGCGTAGGCAGGGGGAGTGGTTCGCTAATACAGCGGGGGGTCTTCCACGCCTGGCGAGTTTCTGATTTCAACAGGCCGTAAATTTCAGACATGGTGGAAGAGAGAATTATTGCTGTAGTGACTGTTAAGTTTTATTACAGTTACATACCGTTACAACAGTTACATTGATTTGTCTTGCTGTTGCAGTCATTTATATTTACATATGTGTATAACTATTTGATGCATATTGTATGTATTTTCCAGTGTGCAAACAGCATTTATTTGACCGAAATTCCTAGATAGTGCAGTGAATGTATACACTAGTGTGGTTAATGTTTATATGGTTGTCAACGAATGCGACAACATTTTATTCAATATCCATTTGATATTGACTTTCCATTTTGGCTTTAATAAGATTTCCCCTAGAAATAGGCAAGAATGAATCTGCGTCCTCCATAATTCGTATTCTTTCTGACAACAAGGCACTTGAACCCGACAAACTTGTAATTTACAGCTTAAGAAGTGGAATGTAGGAAATTTTAGCACATGAAGGCAGCATTATTCTGGTCAAGATGCTTCCCACTTAGATGGGAAGAGAATAATCAGACTGACATAAAAAGTGACCATCCAGAGTTTATTTTGTTTTTACATGCCGTTTAGGGGTGGTTTTATACAGATAACACATTAATTGATTGGTGTAGAAAAACTGATTGTTTTCAGAGATTGGATGGCATTAACCTGGCATCACATCCAGCCAAATCCAGTGATTAGTTCTTACTCATTGTATTAACCAAGCACCTTCTAAATGTGCATCTGTTTACAGGCGGACTTGTGAATCTCAACAGACTAGTGAAATTGCATAGCCACCCAATCAGATTGGAAATTGCCAATTTTCGAGCTGTGTTGCCAGTTTTGTGCAACATGAGTCAAATGGTCAGTGAATGGACTGTGAGTGGTCCACCGGGAGGCTGTCTGCCGCTTGGACTAAATTAAAAGTGATCTTGACCTACTCAGAAACTCACTTACTCTCATTAATATTGTAATACATTAACAACTTCTTGACTTCAGCATTTTTTCACTAAGTTTTCAGATTGTGAATTCGGCACGTTCATCCTGAAAGTGTCATTTATGAACTTGAATTCTGAATGAATTCGAACTATATGAATAGAATATTCCAGCAGAACTTTTGGCCATTCTGTTGTTTTATTTCTCCGTTGCCCACCAACGTCTGTTCAAATTCAAAGACATGTCAGGCAGAGTTTGCTTTAAAAAGCAAATGAGTAGAACAAATATTCAGCTATTCCCCAGGACCCATGTTAGTGGGCTTGCAAACACCATTGCCCGAAGTGTGTACCAGTGGAAGACGGAGATCAGTGAAGTACCCCCAAGCTGCCTCTCTATGGAGCCAACTAACAGTGGCAAGAGCTGGAGAACAATGTATTAAGCCTTCTCTTTCCCTCACTGTGCCAGAAATGGCTCACCTTGCTCCCAATGGTAGAACCGGTATGCACTGACTGCTGGAAGAAAATTACCTTTTGTGGGAGTATTAATTCAGACATGCATCCTGCTGTCAAAGCATCACTCTAAACTCCTCTTCACACTGTTCTGTCTCTCTATGTGTCTCCAGTGCCCCAGTCTTCTTTTTTCATCATCAATAACTGTCTGCTGAAGAATAAGTTATTCCCTCCAAGTCTCTTTTTAAAAGCTTGTTTGGATCCTCATTGTTTGATCTGGCTTGATAAATAAGACTATTGCAGTTAGAAATTCATGACTGCCCTGTTTCATCAATAAATGATTAGTTTGCTGTGCTCTCTGGTGATTGATAGGTTGTGCATGGGATGTATTGGAACCAGATGAATTCAATACCGTGCCGGTCGCTGGGGAGCTACAAAGCATATCAGCTCATGAAAAATTGAGGTCAATGGAAAATGTGAAAAAGAGAGTAAAAGAGGAAGAACGAGCTGTGTTCGAAACAGTTGTTTCTTGTTATCAAAGGATTGTAGACACTCTTTAAGCATCAGATCGAATCAGCCATGTATGGTCTTTATTTGAAGATTGCTTTTTCTACTCTCGTAGTTCGCAAAACCAGGAGTGGACAGCGCCGGCTCCGTTTTTTACGCCAAACAGCCCAGGCAGGGCTTGAAAATCCCAGATCTCTTTGCTACGGCGGGTGAGTGTGGCAAGTTGTGATACGATTTTCCTTCCGTCTCCCTAGAGCTCCGTTTCCCACCTCTTCCTTCGGCAGAGACAGGCGTTTTACATAATTGCTGATAGGCACTGTGACTGTTGTTTTTGTAGAAGTCTTATTTTCTCCTCTCTTGCCCTCCGTCTTTCTCTTATACCATCTCTGCTGTGTGATTGTGATGCATTTATGATTAAGGGAGTGAAAGAGAGTGGCAAAAAAGAGGGATCTTGTACTCTTGCATGTGTGCGGCGCAATACAGCGAGCGCGGGCGTGTGTGCGCCACAAATTGCTTTGAATTGACAGGCTGTTCTCTAAAGCCCACCTACATTAGGGAAATACGCTCTCATTCTTGGATAGAATGCCGTTCTGTGAGAGGAATATTAAAGCACAGCATGGATTCAAATGCTGCAGAGGGCTTTAAATCATAGATAAATTAAATCAGGCCAATTCGTTTAAAATGTATGCAAGTGCCTTGTTAGCTATACCAGGGAAAACAAAATGTTTCAATTTTTTTCTGATAGGTAATCAAAATGATCATAAGTTATTCATGAGAAATCTCTCTCTCATTCTCTCAGATTTTTATTTATTGTTTCTTTATATTGGTTTCTGTTCTTTTGCTTTCATTCACCAAGTTTCTCTCACTCTGTTGCGTATAAAGACATACATTATAAGACTTACATTATAACTACTGTTTTCGATACCATTATTGCGTAATATGTTATACATGGTCATTATGCACCAGTGTTTTTGAGGGGGCATGCAAGTTCATATCCTGACTGTATAATATAATATAATATAATATAAACAACAGTTCTTTCTGGTCCACGAATCTGATTGGCTGAGAGGAGTGTGATATTCTAGTGATATCGGAACTCCAACCGTTTCAGCCTTTGTATCACTCGCTTGCTGTATTTCTCACAGCGAGTGTCATGGCGGACGCCCAAATCCAATAATTTTCCAATAATAATCCAATAATCCAATTATTTTATAAACAATACTGTTTTTTTGTCACGGAATGCAGTTTTAAGAGTTTTAAGGCAAGAACGTACTTATTAGACTTCAAATATGCATTTAGTAAATAAAGATAATGTCTATTTGACATTATATGTTACAACCCATAATGTTACAACCACCTGGATCTGAGTGAAGTAACATTACCAAAAAGGGGAGGCAACACTGAAGACTAAGTTTAATAAATAAAAATTTAATCAAGAATAAATCAAATAATACAAAAATTAAGTATAAGTATAAAGAAAGAAGGAAACAAAAAGAAAACAATCCAGGGCTGGAGAGGGAAGATGAATGGCGGCACAGTCCAGAACTCCCACTGCTCTCTGAATCTCTGTCTTTTAAACCCAAACACCAATCACAGGTAACATTCCACACCTGTACCTGACGCTCGCTCTGAAAGAGAGGCAAAACCACGGAACACCACCACCTAGTGGACAAATATTAAAAAGAGAACAATCTGGGCCGTAACAATATACAACAGTTCTTTCTGGTCCTCGAACCTGATTGGCTGAGAGGAGTGTGATTCTCTAGTGATATCAGAACTCCAACCGTTTCACCCTTTGTATCACTCCGCTTGCAGTATTTCTCACAGCGAGTGTCATGGCGGATGCCCAAATCCAATAATTTTCCAATAATAATCCAATCATTTTATAAATAATACTGTTTTTTGTCATGGAATGCAGTTTTAAGAGTTTTAAGGCAAGAATGTACTTTTTTAGACTTCAAATATGCAGTTAGTAAATAAAGATAATGTCTATTTGAAAATTTGCTTTGATGTTTTTAGGAGATGTGAGTTCCAGGGCGTCAGCTCCAGATTAAAGGATAGTGCGACAAAGATATCACTTTTCTCAGTGGATTTTCAAACGAATGTTTAATTGTGAATATGAGATTGAGCTGAAGAAAGAATGCTATATCAGATGCAGGTAATCACACTCTCTCAGTCCGTCTCTCTCATAATACTCTACATAATAAAATTAGCTTTTAATACAGGCATACAAGAAGCTTTCAATGAAACAACGACGTTCTTTCGTTACTAGTGACGTTTTCAAATTATTAGTAACAGAGGCTTTGGCTCAGCTATCAATTAGAAATTTGAATCTGGGCTGCCCACGAAGCCATCGGCGCCGACATGTATTTACACACTTGTGCTGTCGAACTGTTGTATAAATGCAATATCGCACTCGTAGCCATGTGATATGGCTGTATATCGGCACACTGTGATTACCTATTGCACTCGGCCCGAATCATAGCTGTGCCTATATACAGCCATATTGCACTGCTACTGTGTGGATGCATAAAATTGATCAAAAGTGACAGTAAAGACATTTATAATGTTGCAAAATATTTATGTTTTAAATAAATGTGGTTCTTTTGAACCGTCTGTTGATTAAATGAATGCAGTTTTGGTGAGCATAAGGCTGGCCACACACTTGAAGGTTTTAAGGACGATTTTAAGCCCGGTTTGCACCCCCAAACGACCGATTTGAGGCTTGTCGCAAATGATTTTCTGTCCTGTCTCTATTGTGTGGTGTCATTACAGGTATTTAACTGCTCCTGTTTGAGACGGAGCATCCCCAAACTGAAATATTTGATATTTATGACTCTTGATCGGGCTGCCTCTGACGTGATACAGCCAATGAGAGTGAGCAAGTGTCACCAACCGGATGTTGTGTGCTTCTATAGTTTAAACTTGGTAGCCACAAACATATACTCTACTACAAAAGTAGAGTACTGAGAAAGAACATCACCCATATTCTTTTTTTATTTATTTTGTTTTTCACTGTACAACAGAACACCGCCAGAAGAGCCAGCTGACAACGTCGATTGTTCGCCAGGTGTTTTTCTTCGAGTCTCCTTAAGATCTTGTGTCACTGTGAAATCATTCCTAACAAGTGTGTGGTCTTGTGGTCTGGTCGAATCATCTAGTGTGCACATTCAGAGGATTATAAGGCAAAAATAGAAAGAGCCTTAGAAAGAGAAAAAATCATTTGAATGATAGTCTAATATATTAATATACAATAATTTTTAAATAATTCATTTTATATTATATATTTTAAATAATTCATTTATTATTTGGGGCACACGTGAATGAGATTGACACTTTTTGTGCACTGGATTAACCGAACAAGACTTTGACTGAGCAAGTGCATTGTGTCTTTTACATGCCATGAGGTCATTGAGTGAGTAATTGCAGGCGCTCCGGAGCTGCCATCACTTTGCTCATAAGAGCCGAGCCAGCAGTCCTTGTGATGGAGTTGAGTTTCCCTCACTCATGCAGATCTCGCATTAGCCTCGGACGGTATGTCTGCAGCCATGCTTATAAAAGCCCCTCGATGAAGGCTCATACCTACTCTGGATACTTGATCATGTCCCATGGGGCAGAAGATCCACATAATGCCATTCCTAATGGCAGAAACTGAAAAAAATAAAAAAATAAAAACTCCTTTTAACTACATCAATCGCTGCAGAGGGCTAATCAAACATGCCATGACGGCGAGAGCCATTCCCATCACCTACTGGAGGAGGAGTGCATCTGCTGTCAGCCTATCATTAGCCAAGATTGTCTTACCTTTGAATGTCAAAGGCACAGATGAATGCAGTTTGCATCTCAGGATCAAGAAAGCCCATTAAATGCTCTGTGAAGTGCTGAGCTTGGACGGACTTGATTTGATGTGAGGTGAAGTGTTCTGGGTAATGCTGAAGGATGTTTATCACTTTAACCCTCATGTCTTGTCTGCTGAAACAAGACGTTTCATCTTTTTTGTCTGTGTTAATAGCCTATGTTTTGAGAGAAGATATTGAGCGTTTTGTAACAAACATTAATTGATTTGTAGTTAGTCGCAACAGAGCCTGTCTATTTAAAGTGTCATTTTGTTCACTGCGAACATCGAAGCTCAGTAGTGGAAACAGGGTCTCAAGGTTCTTACTAATGGACGAATGGACTTAATGCTCTGATTTGAAATGTTTTCTATCATACGGGCTTGTGAAACGCCAGAAAAACATGCACCTCCTATCTGTTTACCGTAAAATCCTTAATAGTTGCTTTAGATGAAATATTTACGATGATAGTTGATGCAGTCCTCAACTTTTCTAAATATGAAACTTTGGATGCTTTTAAAAATGAAGAGAATTTTGTGTACTAATGGATGCATCCAACATATGATTAGCATGTAATTAGGATTTATCGCCTTCTCCAGAAAAAAGTGTCTTCAGAGCCACCAACAAAAGGAAGGAGGCAGTAGTAGCATCTGAAGTACTGGAAGATGAAAATATGAAGGTGGATCTTCCTGTTGAACAGGTGAAAACGACAAGCAATATACATGATGTCACATTTCAGTCATAAAGATTACTGACTACCAAAATTAGGATGCAACAATGAAAAAGCTGAATGCTTTCTTCTCCCACAGATGGAAGTAAAAGAAGTTGAGGAGGAACAAAACTCCTACAAAGACCCCAGACCAGGAAGTGATAGCCCTGCCAAAAAGTTAAAAAACCATCAAAATGCAGCTTTTTCAACAAGGTCATCCCTTTCCAGAACCAATAAGGTAAAATAAACGTTTGTTTACACCCTAGTAATGCCTTCACAGCATAGAATCTGAATATTAAAAAACCCATGTTACTTTGTATCTTCTTTACTGTGCTTTGACCACTGATTCTCTTAGATTGCAATGTAGGAAATTTAAACACAATGCCTTTCAACAGATCTCAGAATATACCTCGAGTATGAAGGAGTCAAGAGACCTCCAACCCAACAGCCATGGAGAGAGCAGGGACCAGTCATTAGATCAACAAGAACCAAAAGTATGAAGCTCACAACTCATGGAAAAATGCAACTGAACATACGAAACATAAAATATCTCTGATTTGTACTATTTTAAGATGCTAAAACTTTTGTCTGCCAAGACAGGTGTGTACAGTAAAATTTTATTTTTTTTGTTGATTTGAATCCGTTGACTAAAATTTAAGCATACAAAATAACCGTTAGTATTGGTTGTCTCAAAACAGTGTTGTTGTTTCGAGACTTATTTTTTTGACAATCAAACATAAACAGAAACTGCCATTTTTTCCTTATGCATAACGCGAAGGACTTTCCCAGCTAACAAAATATGTTCCAAGAACATTTTGCTAATGTTACCATTAAGTAGTGAAAACATTATTTCTAAACGTTCTCTTAACATTCAAAATTTAACATCCAGTTTTTTAAATATTTTTTCTTGGCTGTTGTAAAAAAAAAGTTATATTTCATCATTTTGCAATCATTATGGGAACGCTAGTTTTGAAAGTTCTCTGAACATTCTGAATCAAGTAGCAAGTAGTAATGTTTTAAAAATGTTACATGAACAAGCGATGGCAACATTTCAGAAAAAAATGAACAATGTATCCATCAAAGATGCATCAATAAGGTTTTTGTGCATAACGATTTTTAGAGAATGTTATTAAAAACCAGATAACTTTGAACTAATGTTCTATTAATGTTACTTGAAGAATGTTTGTTCATTAATTTGAGAGAATCTTTCCAGAACATCAGCCAACGTTCTGAGAACTTTACCCTGTTGGCTGGGTTATGGCTTTAGTGGGAATATCCCACATTGACTTTGAATGGAACGCAGCACATGTCTGTCATATTCCCTCTCCATTCTGTTCACAAAGTAGATGAGGCCATGAGGAGAGAGGCAGCGATTTGCTTTTCTTTTCTTTTTTTTTGTCTGTGATCTAACCCCATAAAATTAGCCCATTTAGATACAGCAGTTATTGTTGCCAATAGTCCTTGACTCGTTATAGTGTGAATCTCATAACATTGATGAACAGACACAACAATGCTTTGGAATATTACAATGCCATTCAATTTCACAGTGCTTTGAAACAGGAAGATATCGAGTCTTATTTAAACAATCAATAACATGCAGCATTCCATTTAATGAAAACTATAATTTCAGACAAAGGCAATTACACCACTGGGTATTGTTTTGGTGCTGTGACTTTCTGCTGCAGTCGGCATTTTCATAATAAAGATATTCTTATCGGAATAATTATTGACAGGGGAGCGCGGTTATTACCTTGTTAAGGACCTCATCAATAGTATAATTCATTTCTTATCACATTTAGTCCTATATGGAGATTGCCAAATCGAGGGTGGCTATAGATCTCGGGAATGGACCATGTGTAATAGTGAGTAGTAATTCTCACCAGTCCAGCCTCAACTAATTGGCAGAATCATCATCACCGCTCAAAACATGATTTGATATACAAGAGCGGATGAGGGCTCCTTTTTATGACTGTTCACTGTGTCGGCACTAAAGACATGTAAGTACTAATCTTGCAGGACTTGCTCAGAAGGACTGCGTGATGTTAACCATTAACCATGTTCCCCAGCACTCAACAATGTCCAATAAATATTCGCACGCTGAAGGCTTGTATTCCCATTGCACACATAGCTGCGTGCAATTCTTTTCCTGTCCGGCCTTGTTTATTATCCAGCATCGTAACGCTTGATTATGACCCTCGAACAGATCTATTTCATAAGATTCTGACAGTAACGTGTACATTATGGCCTAGATATTTTGTGATAATGAGTTATTATGAAGCTGCTGTGCATTTCATATCGAGGTGACAGTTTTAATCTATGAAATATTTTACAAAGGCAGCCTTATTGTGTTCGCATGAGAAAAAAGCATAACAAATATGTTGTTGCAACAGAACCTGAGCTAAGTATGCAAGCAATCATAATGTAAAAATGCTGCTTTGGTGACAAAGTGCTATTATCCATAGACCCTCTGATGTTTAGAAGCATGTAATTTAAGAAGGCTTCTTAAAAGCTTGATATATTTGAAAGCTTCTTAAAACATTTCATTCACTATATATGAGTCATGCTTCAAAATAAATATTACCTCATCGTTGACGTGCCTTTGAATTATATCGCCTGCTACTGTTACTAGAGTTGCGCTTTTTATTGATGAACAGATTCAATTATATGATAGTGTTTTAGTCCGAACAGCCTCCTTAACAGAAATGATGCCATTTTTGATTTGCATTAACACACCCTGAACCCCAGCACATAGATAAAAGAAAAGCTAAGCTGTCATAAAGACATCAAGATTGTTTACAGTTATTGTTTACAGTAAAGTGTATGCAATGATTTGGTATTTATATACAATTTACTTACAGATAAATCACAAATAAATCTGCTGAAGTATGTTTTGTGATTGGTAGAATGGAAAAGAGAACAAAATCAGTCCCTGTTATGAAACTAATAATTATATTAATTATATAATTTTAATTTTACTTTTCTATGGCTGTGAACAGTTATTTTAGCATTATACTACTGTGGTATTTATTAATATTTTGAATTAGCTTTTGTTTTTATATTTGTAGTTTTCATTTTTAAATCTAGTTTAAGTTTTAGTAATTTTGTTATGTGCTTTTGTCATTTATATTAGTTTTATATTTATTATTTATATTTATTTTTTATTTATTTCAGTTTTAGTATTAGTAAATTAATTTTAGCACTTCAACCTGAACTTGTGTATTTCATTTAGTTTTTTTTAGTATTTCATTAAGCCAACATTTCTTATTTATATATTTTGTTTAGTTTTTTTTTTTTCAACTAATATTCATATTTCATTTTATTTCAGCTTTATTTCAATTAGCGAAATAAAGTTTCAACACTGGGTGTGCACTGTATATTTGTTTAGGAACAGATAACAATAAAATACTTTAACTTGACTTAATCACAATTGTTTATAACGTAATATTTAAACAAGTAATTATTCTAACTTCTATGAACTCTTATCATAATAACTATGCCTAAGGACTCATTTAGCATGTTAAGACAATTACTGTAGTACAAAGCTTACAGTAAATCCATCCTGAGAAAGAAATAGGCTACCTGAATGCAGAAATCATTTGTTTTGATTTTAACAATATTGACTGATTTAGCAATCAGTCACCTAAGCAGTTTTTCTTAATTAATATTGTTAGATATGCCGAAGTGTCCTGGCACTTTTGATCAATCGTCTTCCTCCTCCACAGAGTTTTGTGATAAAAATCAAATAGATATTGATCACATTATTGATCTCCTTTTGCCGTGTCAATACAGTATCTGTTCATTTATCTTCTGCTTTGCTCTCTGGCTACAGTTCCCCAGCTTAGACTCACTGTTTCAAAGTGCGCTTCACACAAGGTCAACCATAATCAACCCCAGACGATAGAACGGGCCGCGAGCAGCTCTCCCAGGCTTTCAAGGCCTCTGCAGTAGACCATTCAATTACTGTTTATTAGACAGTGGATAGTCATTAATCAGATGGAGATGCACAGGTTTTGTCCAATGGGCCACTTAAGAAAACATCTTGAGTCCCTGTTACAGACATATTTAAATGTTGCCATGTTTTTTCACAAGTTTCTCTTGGTTCTTTCATTGTTTATTCACCCTCATGTCTTTTGAAAACTGTTTCTTTCTTGCGTAAAACATAAAAGAAGATGTTTTGAACAATGTTCAAGCTGCTCCATTCCACACAATGAAAGTGAATGCTGATCACAGCTGTCAATCTAAATGTTCAGTTAAAGGGATAGTTCACCCAAAAATGAAAATTCTGTAATTAATTCCTCACCCTCATGTCGTTCCAAAACCGTAAGACCTTCGTTTTATCTTCGGAACACAAATTAAGATATTTTTCATGAAATCTGGGAGCTTTCAGACCCTAGACAGCAACGCAACTACCACGTTTAAGACCCAGAAAGGTAGTAAGGACATCGTTAAAATAGTCCATGCAACATCAGTGGTTCAACCATAATGTTATGAAGCTACGAGAACACTTTTTGTGTGTAAAAAAACACGTGTTACTCTCATAAATGCGCAGTGGAGACTGACACAGAAGATAAGAAATTGGGCAATAAAAATTTTTTTTTTTTTTTTGCACAAAAAGTATAGCTTCTTAAAATCCACTGGTGAGCAAGTGATGTTAGATTTCTCCAAATCTGTTCTGATGAACAAACAAACTCATCAGCTTAAATGGCCTGAGTGTAAGTACATTTTCAGCAGATTTTCATTTTTGGGTGATCTATTCCTTTAATCGTGTAATTTTAGATACAAGCATAAAATCTATGCTTAGATCTACACTTAGTCTCTAAAGATATTGTCTTAATGCAATCCAAATAGAAGAAACACAAACCACTTTGTTAAGCATCCTTATTGAGCTGATTATCATGTGTAGAACTCATGTGGTAGTGCATGAGTAAAAGCCATATTTCTTTCTTTTTACTTCAAAAGAGGCATTAGCCTGACTTTAATATATAATTTTAAGGCGTTACTTGACAGCTTCACTAAATGAGGATCGTACTGCATTGAAACATAATTAGATCAAAGGATGAGATTTTGATTTATGTTTTCAGGACACCAAGGGGGAGGAGATGTCCTCAGAGAAGTGTGGAATACGATCGCATATGTCTAATAAGTTTTTAAAGGGTAAGTTCCTAAATGCCTGGTAAAACAACAGCCAAAATTCCTGTGGTGCAAGTGTACATGATACACTTATAAAGAGACCACTAATACACTAATCATATATCACCATGTTCTTGATTACAAAATAACAGTTTAGACACCATCCAGCTATTGATACCATATGAGATCATCACAGTGAATATTAAATTAATATTTAACATTCAGACTGTACCCAACATCAATGTCCTTGTGACGTTTATCAAACTAAAATCGTGAAAATAGCTATTTTTATTAAAAATCGTTGTTTTTTTTAACTTCAAATAAAATAAACCTTAACTGAAATAAAATAAATAAAAGCTTATTTGAAGTCAGTTATGGATGAAACATTTCTCATTTTAATTTTCTTTAACTTGGTGTACTAAAATAACTAAAACTAAAATAAAAAAATAAATAAAAATATAGACATATCTAAGATAATTTCTTAGTTGAAAAAAAAGTTGCTACAATTAAAATGAGAACATATAAAAATAAAAAACTAATCTAAACTATTAATAAAAACTATAATAATCAACAATAATAATAATACTTAATATCACTTATTTGCTCTTCTTCTTTTATTTTTTTAACATCTTTTTGCATACCGATTTGTGATTGATCATCTTCCTTGAATATATTTAATAATTTACAACTACCTTTACATTGTATGTGTACTTCCATACTATACCTTATGCAACAAACACTACCTCAATTAAGTAGGATGTTCAAAAACTCAGCGATACTAAGGTGACATGCTGCATCTGCTGGGATGCAAATATAGACACTTATGCTAATATAGACACTTATGCTATCCCATAAGTCCATGAGAGCTGAGGAGCTGTCAAACTTGACCAGTTCCATACCAGAATTGTATAGGTTGAAGCCATAAGCTTAACAAATGCAGGCATGGCCTCCTGGGTGAATATAATCACACCATTATCCTGCATATGATGGACACCAAACACCATCTCAGCATGCTTCCTTTATTTTCTATGTAAATTTAGCCTTTAAAGCTTCCATTTGTTTCCCATTCTCTTAATAGCTTTATCTCTCATGCAATAACTGGAAGAGATAAAGTCATTTAGATGTTTTCATGGCAAGTTCTGCACTAGATATGGGGGCGTAAACATCTGAATGACACTAGATGCAAGATATTTTGTTTGTGCTTGGCATTTCACAGCTGTGATTTCTTGTATTTCACATACTGTAGTCTTTTTAAGTTCTTTCGTTTTGGTTCTAAACTAAAATCTAGTATTCTACTCAAGAGGAAGACTTCTGAAACCTGCCTGTTTAATATCAAAATGTCTAATCCACCAGACCTCAAAATGTATGGCAGCCCTCCAGTGTCCATTGGAAACAGGAAACACTTCACAGATGTAAAAGTACATCCATGTTTTCTTTGGATTGTGATTGGGGCTGGGGCCTAGCGCTCATTTAGTTTAGTATTACATGATCTGCAATGTGTACCACACCACTTTGTATCTTCTTTCATACAACAGGAATAATGAACACCAATCATGTAATATGCAGTAGTCATGTAATGTGTGGGTGTATCATATGTTATGGTGTCACTTTCAATGTCCTATCAAACAGTTTCCACAAAATGGTTTTTGAATGGTTTAACCTACTTTTTTTATTCCCATTTTAGGCAAGAAACTAGGCAAAACATTGTTTTTTTTCATATACTAGTCAGATTTGAGATTTTGGGCTATTTGGATTTACATAACATGATGTTTCAGACTAGTGGAAAGAAAACATCCAAAATACAAGAGTTTATTTTATTGCACGTTATCTTTGCATTCAATCCACATCTCCGTCCCTCCCGAATCTATAACAAAAGTGTCCCTCGTGGGTCAAAATGACCCAAAGGCCAAAAATGACACTAATTGTATTTTTGGTCCAGAAAGTTTAATATTGGAACATTTTTATAATTTTTTTTTTCGAATTTTTTATGTAGGTTTTTCTATTATTTTTTGGTGATTTTTATCATATTTACCTTTTATTCTGGATATTTTTAAGAAAACATAAGCAAATAAGCAGTTTTTGTACATTATTTCACCAAAACAACAAACAAAGAAAGAATTTTAGTCCTGTTTCATCAAAAACCAACAGTTTTTGGTTACAGCCACTAGAGGGGCCTATAGAACTCTATGGAGATTTTTTTAACTGAACAAAACAAGTGAAACATGACAAATGAGATAATCTTAAGGCTTCAATTTGGTTGTTTATGGATTAAAATATATATTGAAACATTACAAAATCCATAATTTGTAAAAAAAAA